TTAAATGAGCCAGTTTGCTTCCTGTTCCTGATCCTCCCCAATGTTCTCTGCGAGGAAAGACAGCATAAATACATATGACAATGTGATTTTTTTTTTCTACAGGGTGAAAAACTTTAAAAACTTAAAATAAGAACCTTGCCTTATACACACAGGCACTGTCATGTTAGAATAGAAAAGGGTCCTGTCCAAACTGTTGCTATAAAATTAGAAGCACATATTTCCCTAGAATATCATTATATGCTTTAACATTAAACATTGTACTCGTGGAAATTACTAAAGTAGTCAAACCTGATCATTAGAAGGGGGTGTCCCAATACTTTTGGCAATATAGTGTATGATTAAATGAATCGTTGCCAAATCTTACAACATGCCAGAAAAATATTATTCACTGCAATGATCCAATCATAAAACCTTAAGTATTTGATTCTTTAAATCTAGATTATAAGATGCTTATAATAAGATCTAGATATAAATGCCTTAAAAAAAATAACACTCCCACAATATATTTCACAATGTCTTATAAAATCAAAATCCTGATTGTGGATTCAACCAACTATGTCCATTTGAAAGCATCCAGATGTGTTTAATAACAAAATAAACCGAAAGCAAGACACTTGCCTTGCGTCCTGATTTCTGAGCTTGCTTTTGGTTGCCCGCCTTCTCTTCACTGAGGGGTGTCAGCATTTCTGTTTGGAGTTCACTCGGCAAAGCGTCAACATTCAGACTAGTGACGGCAGCACGATACGATTTATTCCTGCGATTTCTCCTCAGCGAAAACCCATCGCCCGAATCACTGTCATAGTCCTCCCAGGAGAGGTTTGTGGGCTGCAGGCTGACGGGAAGGGTCACCACGGTGGTGTGGTAGCGGTTTCTTGGGCGGCTGCTCACAGCCAGGTTCTTGGGGATGAGCTGTCGAGCGCCCTGCCTGCGAGCTGCTTCACTCTGGGTGCTGAGCATTACAGTTCTCTGCTCATCCTCTGGGGAATCCACTCTGGACAGGTCGATGCTCGAGGACGAACGTCCAGACGGCTGCTCCAGCTGAAGCACCGAGCTGAAGCGGCTCTCCGGAAGAAGGAGTGACTGGTTCCCCGTGGAGCCATAGGAATTTCTGTGGGACATGGCACCTTCAACCCGGTTCCCTGGTCGGCTGGAGAAAAGTGTTTGTCACTTGAAGAACCTCAGTTTGGGGTCACCAGCAGACCACAACACTAACCTGTTACAACAGAGATGGGTGGAGTGACAGACTACTCAGCTGTAATTCTGACTGAATGTAATTTGAAACTGCAAGGGTGGGAAGCCTTTTCACGGTAAAAGATCTCAACAGAAGACAAGGGCAGGTTAGGAGCACTGCAGGTGAAAGGAGCTTTACAATACCTGTAAAGAAATATTCACTACCTCTTTCCACCCATTAATGAAGCATATGTGAAAGTTATTATGATCTAGACTTTGCTAATATAAATGTAATTATCACCTGAAGATAATGAAATTAAACAAGTCCAGCTCACATTTCACTCCAAAATCAAAAGAAACCAATAGCATAAATAAAATGAAGCATACGTTTTGTTGTCGTTTTATATTGGGACACGATTTTAATTATAATCATTAAAATAAAATACTTTTGGGATTTGTAATTCCATTATTCCCAATAGGGACTGTTATTAGATTTGCATTACTGCAATTCTTGATTGCAGTAAAAATTGGTTAAAAAAAACAACGCCCTCCCACCCCCAATTCAAATATGTACAGGTGCATCTCAATAAATTATAATGTCATGGAAAAGTTCATTTCAGTAATTCAACTCAAATTGTGAAACTCATGTATTAAATAAATTCAGTGCACACAGACTGAAGTAGTTTAAGTCTTTGGTTCTTTTAATTGTGATGATTTTGGCTTCATTAACATAAAATGATGAATAAATAATAAATGAATGAATAAATGTACAGTAAATGAACATACTTTCCAGAAGGCCAACAATTCACTAAAAATGTTTTTTATTGGTCTTATGAAGTATTCTAATTTGTTGAGATAGTGAATTGGTGGGTTTTTGTGAAATGTGAGCCAAAATCATCACAATTAAAAGAACCAAAGACTTAAACTACTTCAGTCTGTGTGCATTGAATTTATTTAATACACGAGTTTCACAATTTGAGTTGAATTACTGAAATAAATTACTTCCACGACATTCTAATTTATTGAGATGCACCTGCATGTTCTCTATGTTGCTAATCTGTATGCATTCTGTGTTGCAAGATTAAAAATAAATAAATGAATAATTAAAAAAGGAGTGCAGACCATTTTATTCTTTTGAAATTCAAATCAGCATAAATTATTAGCATCATCATAAAAACTACTTAAAATGATATATTGCGTCAAGTCACATTTATTTAAATTGCCCTCTATACAACACAGATTACTTCAAAGCAGCTTCACATCAATAAACAGGAAAATAACATTTAACGTCATAAAATGTATAAATTACGAAACAATTTTAATTTGAACTGCAAAGGAGAAGACAGATTCAAAGTGCATTATTTACGAAATGAGCAAGCAGCTCTACAGGAGGCAGTTGTCACATTAATTATATTAACTCTCGTTTAAAAACTATTAAATAATATATTCACGTGTAAATAGCCTAACATATGAAATATAACAATTGTAATGATGAGTAATCAGAGTTGCTATGAAACAAGCAAGTATCATTTCGGTTATAGGCCTATACTACACCAACGTGTGTAATATTAGGTTACAGCATGACACATAATTCATCTCATCTTGAAAGCAACGCGCTGCATGCAGCTCTGTCTGTTTTAATTCTATTTTTACACATTGTTCACCATTATCAGAGCATGATACTCACAGGCTTTTTCCTGGAATCCTCTCACGCCTGTTTGGAATGTCCCTTGATGACGGAAGCAGGTGCACAAATCATGTTCAGTTTCGTATAATACTCATATAATTTTTTTTTTTTTTAATGGATGTAAACGGTTCTTCACGGGACCACATATGCCAATAAAAAACTTTATTGTGACAAAACAACATTATAGTTTTCTTGACATAGCTGTTGGATAAAAGACACTGCTGCGGGAATATTTGAACATATAACTGATCCTAGTCATCTGGATAAACAACTCACTGTAACTGCATTTCACGCCCAGACTGACCAGTTCTCAAAACAAAGAGCATTTTAAGTCCGTTTAAAGGCCATACATAAATACAGGATTGACTTACCCGGCTAATATCACATGCACTGTGATTCTGAAAATGTGCAGATGTCAGATTTCTCTGCACGGATCCTGAACATATGATATATTTGAGCAGAACTTCAACGCATTCCTGCACCTACACGGCCTCTGTATCGCTCGCGCTACGTCGCCCCAGGTGAGCTCAGCCACACCCACCGGAACTTCAAAATCACACAAAATCAGTAGCACACGTTTGTATTTCTGGTAGCCTACTGTAACGGTAAAATAATAATAATAATGCACATTGCGCCATCTGCTGGTAAAGTGTGTCACTACATAAGCTAAACCTTCATTGAAGTTGATTCTTCTGATTGAGTGAGGGTAGTTTTATACTTTTATTTTTGTAGTATGATGTGAAATTAACCTTTCTCTAACCGTAAAGTTAAGCTACTGTCGATAATAGAAATAATTATATATTTCATATATATATATATATATATATTGACAAATTCAGTTCAGTGATATTTCAAGATATTGGCATTTGTAACCTTCAGTCCTGTAACTTAACTTGTGTTTATGAACCTTCAGCATAAATAAAATAAAAATAGTAAATTCTATTAATGAATGTATTCAATTAATTAAATTGCTTATTAAATGAAAGATATCTTCTATTATGTTATGTTAAAATATAACATGAAAAGAACAGTTTAAGCATGAGCAACTGGACTGTCACTCGATATAATGTAATATAATGTATTGGATGTGTTTTTGTGTGATGTGTATTAACTCTTTCACAGGCACAAATTGTTGTTTCGATTTTTATTACATTACTGTTGCCACTGGGAAAATGAAAGTTTACAATAGTCTGCCTATGAAAGCCAGGCTGAAAACAGAAAAAGACATGTAACTGACCCGGATATCATTGGCCAATACGAGTTTATAAGTATTTCTAAATGGAGTAATTATGAATAGAAAATGTTCTAATGGCAATAACGTTCACATCTTTGTTTTCAGCATCATTATGGCATCTGATAAACGAAAGCAGAATGTTCCCAAACTCAAGGAGGACCATGCTTATCACTTGTAACCTATGTTTTTTTTAGTTGTACAGAAAAAAACAAAAACACTCAAAATACATCAACTCTACCCATCGCACAGTGAATGACACAGGACAGACATATTATATGCATGTGTAAAAATACACACACATATACTTTCTCACACATGCACACACACACAAACAGATTCACATCCGGCACTTTTCTGATGTCTAGTTACTCGAAATACATTAACAAGCTACAGTTGCCAAGCAGAGAAGGAAAAGACAGCTTCATTATTGGGGAGCGCAGCATGGCTGAATACACCGTCATGATTTCATGACATCCTATCCCCCGCCAATGAAAACGTCCTGTAAATCTCAGTACAAAGGGTGACCGGGATGTTTTTACTTAGACCATCAAATGCAATAGAATATTTAAGACATTGGCTTCTCTTGTGCAATTATGGGGTTCACTATAATTTCATAATCTGTTTTCATTAGTGGTTGTTATGTAGGTCTGAAATACATTCTGAGCTTTGTTATTTGGGAAGACTTATTATAAGTTGTGATCTCTGACTCCACCTTTTGGTGAAACATGTATATGTACAGTGCAAAGAGACTACAGGTAAAATGCTTCTTTTTTCATTTCATGTATCATTTCCAAATTGCGTTTTTTATGTAAGAAACATAGATGCACCATAACACAAAGCGTCACTTACTTTATGTAAGAATACATTGTGCCATAACACCTGTTCAGGACTATCATACTTAACAGATTATGCATTTGTTTCTATATATAATGTATCATTTCCAAATTGCGTTTTTTATGTAAGAAACATAGATGCACCATAACACAAAGCGTCACTTACTTTATGTAAGAATACATTGTGCCATAACACCTGTTCAGGACTATCATACTTAACAGATTACATAAAGTAAACTTAAAAAAAGTTTTCAAGCAGAGTAGCCAACATGTGATTTCCTTGAAATATATGTTCTACTTATAATTGAAAATATTACTAGAGATTTAAAATGAGATGCTAATGGGTCAGGTGGGGAATGCTGCAAATGATTTTCAAAACAGGTAAACAATGACCACAGTAAAAACATTAGTTTCATTCATTTTTTACCCTTTAACGGTACAGTGCATCTTCAGAGCTCAACAACATGCAGGATACACTGAGACTCAGACGAAGCGCTGCTGAAGTGCTCATCGAGCAGAACGCCGTCTGGTTTGTGTCTAAAGGGTCTGGCAGATTCTCAACAGTGTCCTACAGTTATACACCAGCAGAGAGCTGTGCGAGAGCGGAGGGGGTGACGGGGAGTCTACTACTGTTTCGCTATGTCGCCTTTCTTTAAAATAATCTGCCGCTGCCACGGCGCCAGCTTGGTTTCATCGTAGCCCAGCGTTCGTAGTCGCTCCAGTTCCGACTTCTCCTCGTTCTCCTTTTCCATTCGCCGCCGTTCCTCCTCATTTCTGCGGGGACGAGGAGAAACAAGAAAAGTAGGTACATTCACGTTTTTGATCAAATGACATTATGCACATTAATACAATCCAAATATCAGAAACAGGAACTACTTCTATCTAGAACTATCACTAGTACTGCTATCACTACCCTTACGAAAAATAAGTTTATTCAAGTGTGCTATTAGTATACTTCTTTTAAACTAAAAATAGGAAAGTATACTTTTAGTCTACTTTTTATGTACTTCTCAGAAATGGGCTTTATGTACTTCTCAGAAATATACTTAAAATGACATTTAAGTATACTTGACTTATAGGCTACTTAGAAAAAGTCTAAATATATTTGAGTTATAATTGTTCTCCTAGAATCCGTGTTTTCATTGTTATATTGTAGGGGGTGCTAGTACACATCTTCTGTACAGAATTTCTAAAAAACACAAGTGAAGAAGAAACCGAAACAACAGTCGCTTCCACATGTATTCTAACGCGATCATCAGACATAAAACAGCATCAAAACTGTGTAACGTTGTGGAATAAAATGTCGATCAATGAAGAGGTAATAATGACTGTCAAGCTTTGGGGTGTTGATCGACTTTATCTATGTTTTGATTATCGTTCTGAATCCAATTCATAGTCTTTTTCAGCTTTTTGTTCAAAATGTTGTTTATTTCTTTATTTTTTATTTATGAAACTTATCCACATTCAAGTGTTTAAAAAAGAATGCATGAAGCTAGAATCAAATGTTTTTGTTTACAAGCAGATACCCTGTTCTTTTGATGTTTTGTATGTTCAGATATTCATATAACAAAATATATACAAATTAATACCTAAATAGGGACATAGTAGTATACTTAAAGTATGATGTAAAGTTCACTTAAAGAAAACTTACGAGTATACTTGCAGTATAACACTACTAAACTAGTAGTTTACTGAGACTATACTTCAAAGTGTACTAAAAATGCTACTACAAGTATTTAATTAGTAAACTATCAGTATACCTATAAGTTCACTTTTAGTATAGTTGCAGTACAAAATAAACATTTTGAAGTAAACTAGTTGTGTACTCAAAGTTTACTACTGTTATACTTAAAGTATACTTAAAAATATACTTGAACTTTACTTAAGTATACTTGCTAAAATAAACTTGAAGTATACTACTTTTTGGTAAGGGTAGTCAGTGTCTTACCTTTTATATTCCCTGTCCATCCAGGAGTGGATAAAAGAAATAGAGGATTACATGTATATGTTTACATTTTTGTACATTTGCCTACAAGATACTACAACAAAATAAAAAAAATGTAAAAACACTACATTGGAAAATACGGTTTTACTTACATCTTATCACTTTGGTATTATAATCCACACAAGACATTGAAAGTAAAAGACAGAAAATTTACAGATTTGCATGGAAGAAATGTCAGGCATACTAAAGGCAGTTCTAGCTATCTTAATCATTAGTTATGAATGATATAAATAAAGCTATTACTCGTATATTACTGATAACTGTAATATTACTAGTGATATTACTATTACTGGTATTTGAAATTGGCAAGCAAAACATGTTCATTCTTCAAGATAAACACTAAATTGAATTATAAATGTGCCACATATTTAATCAACTTTACCACAGTAGTAAAAGTAGAATGTATAGAAAACTTGAGGTTGACGGTTGAATGAGGTTTACAGACAATAAACAGAAAAACACAGGAGACAGTAAGAAGCAAACAGAAAGACAAAGAGAGCTCTGGCTCTTTAACTCGCCTCTCTTCTTCCATCTTTTTCTTCATGATATCTCTCCTCCAGGCAGGCAATGAAGCCAAACGGGACGCCTCTTCTTCAGCCTGACACACACAGAGAAGATCAGAAAAGATTTTTTTTTTCACTATAGTGCCAAAAAAAAGGGATACGAGTCTATAAATACAAACCACAAAACCAGTATGAAAACATATCTTCAATTGTGGAATACTGGAAACACTGAAAAGCTGAATAATTAAACTGATATAAACATAATTTGTCTGCATTAAAAAAAAAGAACTAATCTTATCACCGTATAAATAAACATCACTTCATCGGCCTACATGTGAAAGAGAGTTTCGATCATGAATGTTGCAGGCCATGATAAATGTGTACTGAACATATTCACAATAGCAAAGCCACTCTCACTATATTGCTTAAGTGCAGTTTTGGGCTGTTATATTTAGAGGTGGACTCAAGTGCTTCAGTGCAAACATGCTAACACCCAATCTTGGAAAAATGTCATGGTTATTGGGCCAAAACACTTTAGCATACTCCTAAAATGTAGACAGTTTTTGCTCTCAGACAGGCGGTGTGTGCACACAGTGTGAAAAGTGATCTTCTTCCTCCATTAGATGTAACTATAGCCGAGCGGAGGAGGCGGCTTCTCCTTCTTCAGCTTCTCATTTCCCCTCAGCGCGGATTGATTACCTCAACTCCACATCACTGGTAACAGCCCGAGTATCTATGTAAACTAATCTGTGTCTTAATATTTCATTATTCCCCTGGGAATTATATGCCAAGAAAAAAAAAAAAACACAGGTAAAACAAACAAAAAAATAGATCGATGAAGATGCTTAGGTAGATAAAGAAAGTTTAGAGAGTGCAACTAGGAATGATAAAACACACTGATGGCATTTCTTGCCATATAAGAATCACATTAAGCAATTAGGTGTTCTTCCATTAATAATGTAATACTGCAATGATGGGTTGCTTTCAGATTTTGACTAATAATTAAAAAAATGTAAATGACGTTCTGTATCAGCTCACAAAGATATAATCTGTCCATAAAGAAGGCTTTACTGAATCTATAGAAGGCAAAGACAATCCATTGTTATTGAGTTGAAAGGTTTGTAAAAGTTACTAAAAACTGCATTTAAGAGAGATACTGCAAGACATTCTCCAACTGAGAGATGCATATAGAAAAATATGCTGCTAAATCTCACGAAAATGATATATTTCACCTAAAATAAACATTTTGCATAAAGAAAATACAGCCTATTTTTGTACCATTATACACTGTTGCATTATAATTATGACTGTTTACCCAAAACTGTCTATAGATATTTTAGAGTTTATTTGTAATTTTCATTCGACTCTTACTAATGAATCCTGTCTGGACACAATGATAGATAGATAGATAGATAGATAGATAGATAGATAGATAGATAGATAGATAGATAGATAGATAGATAGATAGATAGATAGATAGATAGATAGATAGATAGATAGTGTAAGGGTTAAAAAATAAGCTTAATTTTCTTTATTCAGAATAAAATATTTCTTTTCATTTTGGTTGTGGAAATATGACCTGAAATATAGCTCTGTGAAATTAACCCATTCGGTCACGCTTCATTTTAAAGTTCAGTTCTCACTATTAAGTAATTATTAACGGCAACGTTTGCCTCAATACACTGCTAATTTGCTGCTTGTTAATAGTTAGTGTAGTTGTTAGGTTCAGGTATGGGAAGGATTGAGTGAGCTATTATATGGTCATGCAGAATAAGGCATTAATATGTGCTTTATAAGTACTATTAAACTGCCAATATGCTATAAATAGGTATTGTTATAAGCAACTAGTTAACAGTGAGATGGTCACTATACCAGTGTGATGGTCCTTAAAATAAAGTGTTTCCACTCATTTGATATAATCAGAGAGCTGTCACCTAAAACATTTACTTTTACCTTAAAATATATACAACACATGCAGCAGAACAAAGTTTTAACATGGTGCTTATTTAGTATCTGCAATTACATACTTTTCCACTTGAAATTCTTTCAATGCTTGTGGAGATGAAATCACACTTAGACTACTGTCCTGCCTTCTTAAGGAAATGGCAGCTAAATGCCCTCTAAAACACAGCTTGAGCTTGACTCCAAAAATAGCTTTGATGCCATAGTTAACTCTCTAATTCTCATTTAACTCTTTAGCTAATTAAGTTCATGGAACCTAACTAAAAGTTCATTATTTGTAGAGCAATTAATTATTACTAAAAAATACTATTAAATGGAAACAGTGGCCTTTATTAAAAGCTATTATTAAACCTTATAAATGTGTTCAATCACTTTATTAAAATTATAATAGGAAATCACAAATGAAAATGAAAATGAAATGAAAGTGTCCAATCATAAACTTTAGATTTATTTAATTTTGTAAGTATTTCTCAAAAACTAACAAACCATCAAACTGACACTTCAAACGTGGAACAATATAAACGTCAATGTTAGGTGTAAAAAAAAAACTCTTATGAATACCAATTGCAATAAAAACCTTCTTAAGTAGAAATCCATCTGCTTTTCAAAACCTCTTGAAAACAACATTGCCATAAACAATTGGTAATAAAAGACAATCAAACTGAAAGATAAACAAAAGGGCAAGAATTCTTACACATCTACAAATGTGTCATTGTTGAATGAATAAAGGCATTGATTATGTTCAGAAACTAAGAGTTGTGTGTTCTTAAATAACTCAAAACACGGCAAGAACACTAAGAGGGAGCACGTTCCTTCTTTTCCTAAACAACAATTCTGATCATTTCCAAATAATTATGCAACATGCAGAACAAACCATTTAAAACAGATGATATAAAACACATTTTAGCTGTAATCTATGTCTGTGATACTCTCAATTGTAAGTTATACAAATAAGAACGAACAACAGTTAAAAGTTACAAAATTTGAATGGCTTTTAATAAATGAATCTGAACGAAATCAATTAATGAACAAAATGCTAGTTTTAAAAATGGTCAGAATACTTTTACATTTAATTTCTAGAAAATGTATTTTGAGCTTCATTGATGGATGATTTAAAGCAGTGGTTCCCAACCCTGGTCCTTGAGGCACGCCAACACTGCACATTTTGCACATCTCCTTTCTCAGTCTGACACACCAGTTTCAGGTCTTGAAGTCTCTACTAATGAGCTGATGATCTGAATCAGGTGTGTTTGATTAAGGAGACACGCAAAACATGCAGTGTTGGGGTGCCTCCAGGACCAGGGTTGGGAACCACTGATTTAAAGCACTTTGAACAGACAGATATGACTGTTCAAATGAATTAGCACACTTAAAGCCTGTGTGTATTATTCAACTGTTTGAATCTTACACACTCAGTGAAAAGCTGATATTCTGCTAAAAAGACTGTAAGCTTTCCGTCACTTCACCTTGTGATATGTAGTGCTATGATTTCTATGCATTTATTGTTTTATCTGCATGATAGCAATTTACAAAATAAATACATTTTACACAGCTTACAGCTGCTTGTAGGCTTTTATTTGTCCCTGTGTATTTGTATCTCTAAAGCTTTTCATGGCTATTAAACAAATAGATAAACATTTCATTCAGCATGATGCTATTAACTTGAATTCTAAAACCATTACAGCTCAACATTAGATTGCTTCTTCTGACATTTCCAGCAGTGAACTGCCTCAAACTGCTTGCTGAACTGCTTAAAGCATCTCCTGGTGATTGTGTTTCATCCTTCAAATAAGTTGACCTGATAAGTCAGATGTCAAACATCTCAGCCTCCTTCTCTTTCCAGAAGGCGAAGCTTCGATCAATGTATCTAATAATTTCCTCATTGCTAAACTCTTTAAGTTCATAGATAAGCTTGATGGAGTCCTCATTGGGCTCCTCTTTAATATTTGCTGGGCTCTGTTCCTTCACAGTATTAATGCATGGGGCTTGTGTCTGGGGGCTTTCCGCTGTTGCTTGCGGTACTGCGTTTTCTGACTGTGGTGCATCCTGTGCTGCATGTGGTAGTTGAACTTCAGTACTACTCTTCTGTATTTCCGTATCATTTATAAGAGTCTCAGCTGAGTTCTCAGAAGTGCCCTGCTGGGTGGCCGCTGCAGAGTCGTCTGGGTGTTCATTAGGGACTTCAGGTGGTGAAACACTTGGAAGATCTGCATCGGCTGGAGCGTCTTGCGATATATTCACGGATGCCTGCAGAATCTCCGGAGGCAGAATGAGCTCAGCCGCTTCCAGTAGTCCACCACCCTCCATAGAGTCACCGAAATACTTCACCTTGATATCTTCGAAGCCATCTGACCAATCGCGTTTCCCGCTCTCAAGGCTCTCCATGACCTCTCGGTGGAACTGGCGGATCACTTCCCACGGGTGACTGCCTAGTCTGTCAAACATCTCGTAGCAAAGCAAGTGGCGAAACTTCCGTTCAGTGCGCGACATGTTCATCTCCAGAAGCTGGAAGTAGCCTAGCATGAAAAGGTCAAGGGTTAGACTCTCATATTGAACCGGAGACCCATTGATGTGGGGAAGGAAGTGCTCGGGCCAGTAGATCATCTGAGCTCGACTGAGCCTGCGGATTTGTCGCGTGGGCACCTGGCTCATAATGGTCCTCCAGTGGCCAAGAAGATTTCCCACCACCTGTCTCTGTTTCATGAAATACAGCAGCTGGTCATCCTCCGTTTGCATGGTGCCATCTGGCTTAGCTAGGTTGTGATAATACAGGGAATGGGAGTCGTTCTCCTCGACACTCAGAGTCTTCCCTCTACCTGAGCACTTGTAGGATTCAGTCATTGTGTACTTTCTCCAGTGCTCCAGGAACAGAAACACAATCCTCTCCTTGCGCATCTCGATGCACTCCTGGACGTAGCTCAGGTCCGTCTGCACTTCTAGACTGCGGGTGAGATGCTCTGAGGTTAGTGGATTCGTAGGCTGGTCATGATGCTCTGAGTCAGATGATCCAGGCCCAGTGTACGTCAAAGGTACATGGGACTGCGTTATAGGTTCCTCATTCACCAATGGTAAATCCTGATCTATCGGCGACCCATCTCCGGCTTGCGAGAGGCTCTCACTTAAAGAGAACAGC